ACCTGTTTTTTGGCGAATTAGCGCAAAATTCAGGCCGAATTTGAAATGATTCAAGACTGTGAGAAATTTTAAATTCGGCCAATTTCGACAGGAAGAAATTTCAAAATCCATTAAAAATTTTCGCATAGAGAATGCGAAAAAAATTCGTCAATATTTTAATATCATCTAGTGTGTAGGAGTGGTGAGAGCTTCCCAGAAAAGGAGCTCAGAAAATGTATAGAGAGTGCGCAAAATAAGGAGTGCGCCTGAAGCTTTTCTTGGTTGGCCTCGGTTGGCTGCTTTCCCCGTTTTGGAGTCTTCCAGCGCACTTTTATCGAATTTATCGATTTTACAACATGAATATGCTTTGATTGCAAGATTTTATCACCTTGTTCCGATTCTTCCGATTCTTCATCTTTTTTTCTGATTTCCTGGAAAACATTTCCAACTTTTTCTCTTTGACTACGGTGGAAGGCGACAGTGCGCACCGACACCGATCGGCCTTGCATACTCAGTGAAAAGCCCAATGATGTTTGCGGACATTTCGGCGACCGATCGAACGAAACGAGCTGATCACTAATCTTCAAGTGTTTTCGTTGATTTTTTCGTTGAAATTATTTTAAAATCCGATTTTTCGCCATATGTTTGTGTATATGAAACCTGATTTCGTTGTATTTTTTTTATGCTTTGTGCCCGGAAAACTGGTCATTGGATTTCAAAGCTGATAATCAATAATTTAGCAGTTTCTTTCTTTTTTTAGAAAATTGTATTTAGACAAAAATTAAAGCTTTTTTTAAAAATTTTCTCTATTTCGTTCTCTTCGAAAACCGCTCTTTTGTTCTTTTTGACATATTTTCAATTCCAGAATGGCTGAAGAGGTCTTCGCCAACCCTCTAGAAGAGCCAGTAGATGTTGAAGTGTCTCTGGACGACGACGAAGACACATTCCGTACCGCTCGTACCAATGTCACCGCTTCGGAAGCCACGTTGAAAGAAGATGTGGCGGATTCGTCGAGCAGCCACGTGGCAGCGACTGTGGACCCAAAAGAGGAGACCTATTCGTCGCTGATTGAGAATCGAAATGTGAGAAGGGAACACACACACACACACAGACATTTTGAATTTTTGCAGAAGTTATTGATAAGAGACTGCATAAACTGATAGTAGTCACAACATAACTTGTTGTGTTTTGTGTGTCATTTCTCCCACATGACAGATGCATTTTTTATTGATTTTCTGTCACTTTTTCTGTCAAAAATCAATTTTAGAGGGGGAAACTTTTTTTTTAGATTTTTCAAGCCCAATTCTATCTTTCAGCACCGCACCGAGGAGATCAGCATTGATATGGACTCGGCCGACTCGATTCTGGTCGACATTTCAGATGCGCTTTCGGAGAGGGATAAGGTCAGTGCATCAAAAATTTCATTAAACTCATCAAATATGAAATTTCCAGGTTAAATACACGGTTCACACGCGCACACGTCTTCAGGATATGCGTCCAGAGACTGCTGTGGTTCGAGAGCACGAAGAGTTCCTCTGGCTTCATGGAACGCTTGAGGAGAACGAATCCTATGCTGGATTTATTGTAAGTAGTTTTATAAGATTGAAAATTACTATCCGAGGCCTAAAATAAGAAATAACAGGTTTTCGAGGCATTCGATCTGCCAAGAACAGCCTAATAATCATTTTGAACGCCTGGAAAAGGTCTGAAATGACAAGAGTACGATTTATAGATCCCACCGGCACCTCCAAAGCCGAATTTCGACTCATCCCGAGAGAAACTTCAAAAACTTGGGGAAGGCGAAGCAACGATGACTAAAGAGGAGTTTATGAAGATGAAACACGACTTGGAGCAGTAAGTATTGTCTAATTCTATGTGGAAATTGTTGAAATCGTTTCAGAGACTATCTGGCACAATTCAAGAAGACTGTCGCCATGCACGAGGTGTTTTTGCAGAGAATCGCCGCTCATCCGGTCTTCAAGAATGATCAGAATTTCAGAATCTTCTTGCAATATGAAAATGAGGTACTATTTTTAAAAACTCTCTGGCTATGAGAAGAAAAATGAATATTTTCAGCTCTCGGTCCGCGGAAAGAACAAGAAAGAGCAGGTGGAATCGTTCTGGAAGCGTTTCACCCAATCCGCTGATGAGGTTCTGCTTTCTGGACAAAAGGATGTTGACGAGTTTTTCGAGAAGGAGAAGAATTATATGGTAGAATACAATATACATATCAAGGAGGCGGCGGCGAAGGCTGAGAAGGTCACAGCGGCCAGAAAAAGTGGGTTTCAAGGAGAATTAAGATTGAAAATCGCTAAAAAAGTTGTCACTTGAATCCCATTTTCGCCATTTGGAGTGAAATTAGGCTAAACTCAATAAAAATTCAAAAAATTGGTATCTAAATTTTCAGACGTTGTGGTGTCCTTCTCGAAAATCGGCGACTGCTTCGAGCGTATTGCACGTGGAGAGCCGAACAAGGGACTGGCCAGGACATTTGCCCAAGGAGCCGATGCGATGGTTAAGCTGAAAAAGGTGAGAATTTTGAATGAATTCTGGTCTAGAAAAGCCTAAAATTGGTCTAGAATGGCTTAAAATTGGTCTACCATGCATAAATAATATACTTTCTGATAGTTTCAGAAACCCAATTTCATTTTCATAACATTTTAGGTAGAATCCCGCGCTGCTAACGACGAAGAACTGAAACTCGGTGACACTCTCCACTACTTTGCCAGAGATACACAAGCGGCTAAGGATCTTCTCTACCGCCGAATGCGCTGCCTTGCCAACTACGAAGCTGCCAACAAGAATCTGGAGAGAGCACGTGCCAAGAATCGAGAGATTCCAAAGGCTGAGGCGGAGCAGGCGGAGGCTTGTAAGAAGTTTGAAGAGATCACTGGATTGGCTAAAACCGAGCTGAAAGAGCTGAAAACGAGACGAGTGCAAGCGTTCAAAAAGAATTTGATCGATTTGTCAGAGTTGGAAAAGAAGCATACGAAGGTAGGAGGGGCTGTCAAGATTCTAAATACCGCAAAACCTGTAATAGAAGTGCCCCCACACTGTCACGTTTGAGCTCAATTATCTCGGTCCTCATCAAAGGTAGAAAAAAAATTGTGAAAAAAACGGTTTATCATAATATCACAAAAATTTTATCAGTGGACAACATTGTTATATCTCTTACAGTAACCGAGATAAACTGGCTCAAAGTTAAAAGTTAGGGGGCCCTTCTATTACAGGTTTTACTGTAATTTTTCGAAATATTGAAATTCTTAAATTCTTAAATCTCGGAATTCTCAAAATTTTGAAAAAAAACGTTTGATAATCAACAAAATTCGATTAAACATTTCCAGGCAGAAATATCTCTTCTAGAGGACGTTGTCGCTCGTCTCAAACAGCTTTGATTGAAAAATTTCCAATATAAAATTTCTATTTTGATCTATTTATGTGTAAATTGATGTTTCTATTTTTGCATTATTTTTACCTGAAAATCGTAATTTTCAGGCAAAGATAATGTCATTTTCTAGTCTTATATTCCCTTTTTTCTGCCACATATTTGCATATTTTTTAAATATTTTCAAGCCAGTTATATATATATATATATATATTCATTTATTTATTTATTGCCCCCCCCCCTCCCCTTTCAGAGAGCTGTGATTTATTGATTTTCTCTCCCCGTTTTCCCTACCCTCTTTAATTTATTCCTAAGCCCGCCTCTTTTTTTCGGTGATCACCCGCACACATATAAACATATAATATGCTATTTTTCAGCACTTTTCCTATCACCTCCTTACCATAAGTCGATTATGTTTCTATATATTTTTAAAATTCTATAACATTCACACAAGCGGTTTCAGAATTTTATACCGAAATTCCCGCTGAAAATATCTTTGAAATTGAAAAACGAAACTGATAGTGAGGGCTTTTTTTGCTTAGGGCTAAAAAAAAAGATTGTAAACCTGAATTTGATTTTAAGTCCAAATTCGCGGGGTTTCTAATGCAAAATTTTAAAAATTAAAGGTTTTTAGTTCAAAAACGCATTCTTGAAACCGAAGAATAGCTTCAAAAAACGATAAATCTCAATTCTCGTCCATTTCTGGAAACATCTGGTTTTCTAATCTTTTTTTTTTGAATTCCCGCCAAAACCGAAAACTCCGAAAAAAGAGCGATTTTTCAAAAAAAAAAAACCTATTTCTTCTCCGATTTTTAGCAAAAATTTTAGACCTTTTTGGGTTTCCAGCTATTTTCAAAGGTTCTTTTTCGATTTTTCTGAATTTTTTGTCTGAAATTTGACCGGATTGTGTTCGTGTAGATACTATAGGTTACTTTAGAAAACTTTGTAGTTTGTAGTTCCGGTTTCTGCTAGCACAATCACGTCAAAATGCAGAAACTTTTTCTGTTGCAAGAATATGAGTTTTTGAACTGAAAACGTACAAATAGCATCTTGAAAAACCTCAATAAATTATATTTTCTACACAATTCAATGACCCCTTAAAAATCTTAAAAATGACTAAATCTTTAAAGGTTTCCCCTAATCTCTAGTCGATTTTCGTCACTATTCAATTTCTATCTTTCGAGGTCAAAATCTTTCTATATTTAGATGCAAAAAGTTTCAGTTTTTTTCCTTATCTCATAATCCCCCAAAGCCATTTTGACTAGGTGATGATATCATCTGAGAGGTCATAGATTATTTTGTTTTTACGGTCGTTTAGAAGATCGAGAGTAGAAGAAGAAGAAGACGTGGAGAAGTAGAAGAAGATAACAGAATCAGAAAAAAGAAAACAATGAAACTATAAAAAAAGTTTTCTCGATTGTTTTGTTTTTCTTTTTTTCCTGATCTATTTTTCTAAAACAGTCACTATTCCCAATCCAAGAAACATTGGAAAAGTTGACCCAGATCTAGAAGAACTCCGTCTTTAATTAAAGCCTTTTTTCATTCCACGTTTCCAAAAATCCAGCTCATCTGCTGATGCTATTATCTTCGCATTCCCTTCGAGTTTTTGATTTTTGAATTTGTGAATTCTTGACCTATTTCAGCTCTTTTTCCTCTATTTATTTTATATTCTTTTAAACTCTCGAAAATGTTGTTCATCACTAAAATCCAGATTTGCAAAACGGGCTACAGTGTTCCAAATAGTATCATTTTCTAGAAATTGCCGAGTCCTATCATATGAAATTTAAAAGATCAGAAAATATTGATTCTGAAAGAAGTTATGACAGGGGCCGTCATTGTGACTTGAATAATCCGAAATCTAAAAATATTCAAGCTCGAATTTATTATTATTATTATTATTGAGTTTTTCGTAATTGTTTTACCTCAGAAATACCAAATTTAACTAATTCTCCGTCCTCGAAAAACCCCAAATTTACAAAAATCTCTCATGTGTCAATTTTTCAGAAAATTCAGAAAACTCTATAAAAAGACATGTCAGAGGTTGATTCTGGTCTAGTCAAAATACGTCCAAAATCAGTATAAATTGCAAGAATCATACGTAAACTCTCGGGATACAATATTGAAGCCAAAAACTTCTTCATATGCCAAATCTTTAACGATAACCGAGAAACTCCCTCGTATTTCCTCTACTAGAAGCCCACCCGAACCGTCAACTAAATCTGATCTCAATCTCCTCGGTTTCAGGGAAGGATATCAGAAGTTTGTCAGCTGATAAAATATTGTTGATATCATCAAAAATATTTTATCAGCTGACAAATTTTTGATATATTTCACAGGAATCCAGATAATTGAGCTCAAACTTAACGACTTGGGTGGGCTTCTGTTAGAGAAAATATGGTAGTTTCTAGGTTATCAATATAGATTTCGCATGTGAGGAATTTTTAAGATCCAAAATTGTATTCAGGTGGTTCAAATATTATTTCTGCGATTTACGCTGAATTTAGACGGAATACGGTAGTTGTGTTATAACGTAAAATAGGTCCCAATATCTTTAACAAGCTACAGATGTCCTCCAAAATAGGCGAACACATTTTAAGCCACTCCCCCAGTATTCTAGAATGAAAATGATAAAATATGACTTACTCTGAATTTCATTTGTTCCTCCAAATATTCCTAATCGGTCCGATTATTCCAGAGTCCTCCCGATAGTCACACGAATCATCTCAATTACTCATCAGTGTCCCTCCTTGTCTCCTCTCACAGTACCATGAGCTCCACAAATTTGGCAGGAGGAGGAGGAGGTACTGCCAGTGGCGGTGGCGCTGATGGCTCCAACCCGCGTGCCCAGAACACTATAACATCGGAGTACTCGACGACAGCTGGCACCTACAGTGACACTATGTCCAGCATCAACACTTTGGGATCCACGTCGACGCTCCATGCGCCAGTGTCGTCTCCGATAGCGGCGGCTGCTGCGGCATCTGCGGCGTTGGTTGCACAGCTGAATCCGGCGGATCGGTGGCCCACAGAACCGTCGGCCTACAAATTGGATGAGTCGATTGGTGTGGGAGCAACGGCTACGGTTTTTACGGTAAGGAATCCTTACCGCAGGAGAGGAGACAGAGAAAGAATGAAAAATAAAAAGAGAACAAGTGTGTCAATTCCGGTGATCAAAAAGCAAAAGGGAATAGAAGAGAAATGGGTGTATATTTTCAATTAAAAAATAACGAATCAATGCTTTAATGAGGTAATTAGATCAGCAGGTCTTGAAGACTGCTGTATTAGAAATCCGACTGTTTTGAAATTGGGGTGGTTGGGTTACTGTTAAGGCTGTCGGGAGCAGGGCCGCGGCCGACCGTGATTGAGGCCGTGGGTATGTTACCGTGGACCAATCAGTCCGTTCTTTCGAAAAAAAAGCTCAGTCAGCATACTTGTAAACGGGCCCGGGCCGGGCTTTTTCCGGAATTTCGAAGGCCCGGNCCGGCCCGGCGGGCCCGTCATTTCACTAAAACACATAAGGGGGACCCTTATGTGATTTTTTTCGAACAAAACATTTTTTTTCGAGTTTTTCGATTTTTTTTGTTCAGACAGACAAACAATCCGAAATACGGGAAAAAATGAAAAAAATTATATTGAGAGCTCAAAATTTGGCTCAAAAATACAGAATTTCTGACACCGGGCCTTCCGGGCCGGGCCCGGAATTTTACAAGTATGTCAGTCAGTCAAAAACTATCAGAGCCTTTCGACCGCCAAGTCCTACCTATTTCAGAAGTAACTGAACGGAAAAAGCCGCGGCCCTGATTCTACAGTCTTGGTTACTGTAATAGTTTTTAAAAAAATCTAAAATTACGGTATTTGCTGAGGAGGAATCGCACCAGTGAGGTACGGAATAAAAGGATTTTATGGAAATCCGGACATCTCTGGAGGGAAACGCCTGAAACCAGCAATTCTAGAAAAGCTCTGAAAACACAAAGAATGTGTGTTTCTACTCAATAACAAACTCTTTGTAGGGATTCCTATGGGGTGTGAAGGAGAATCAGGCAAACAGAGCTATTTTTGGAGTCCAAAGTTGATTGTTCTCCTAAAATTCAAGATCCTACAATCATCGTGAGAAAATGTCTAACCAATCTATCTAGATTTTATAGTAATTAGTTATAGGCATCATGCCCGAAAGATACGAAAATAAATAACGATTTATACTTCTATAAAATCTCTTGAAATTTTAATTTCTGAGAAAAACATGGCCCTAGAAGTCAACCCAAGACGTTAACATTGGGCTCAATTACCTCGGTACCTATGAGAGGTATCAACTGATAAAATTTCGGTGAGATTATGATAAATAACTTATCAGATCACAAATGTTTGATATCTTCTACAATAATTGAGCTCAAATTTGACGGATTATGTGGGCTTCTATTAGAGGGAATACTGTAATTGTTGAAAATGTTCTATCGTTTCAAAAGTTTGCCCAATGACTGCGGAGATAAAAGTTCTCCAAATTCTAGTCTATCAGATTCTGAATTTTCGAAAACATCCGATTTTTTTCGAATGATCTAGAAGTTCGATAGAAATTAGTGGGATCTAAAGAAACCTATGGATTTTTAGGATCAAAAAGTTGAGAATCTTTTCTGAATCTCCCCCAACCGTTTTGGACAAAAATCCCTATTTTTCATGATCAGCAATATTGAAAAGTCTTCTCAGATCTTCTTCCGCTTGATTACCCAACTAACTAATTAGGAAAACTCCCTAAAATAGCTACCTAGCCAAAAATAGGCCTGAGCAATTCAAACAGCACAAGAACGGAACACGGAACGAAGTCATAACATCTGCGCGCGCGCTTTCCTCCACTGTCACGTGTTTGTTACTCTCTTCTCCTCCGTTTTCTCGCGTCTGTGTTGGAGCGCATTGGGAGGGGTTGGGGTGTTGCGTCGTCCGATAGCAGCATCCTCTCTCTCGGATAGAAGAGAGAGAGAGAAGAGGAATGAATGAATGGTGTGGAAGAAAATGTCATGCCTATTTGACTATGGAAAGAGTTTTCTAAAGGTTATATTGATGAATGGGCTGAGATCCCATTGAATTGTATCTATGATGTGCAGAGACTCCAATACCGTAATCCATTAGCCTGCACATCAATATTCTAGTTTCATCTACGAGTTGATAGAAGCTGGCATATAAAAAAAAACAGAATAAAAGAATCGCTGATAACTTGCTTTAAAATTGAAATTGTGAGCAAAACAGCATACCGGATGATAGAGCTCGGAGAACCTCTACAACCTCCGACAAGAATCATGGTCCGGACCGATAGTTTTTACCCGGCCCTCACCCGGTTCCTGATTCGAATGCTGGTCTATCCTTATTGGAAGTTGTAGAGCTCACCGAGCTCTATCACTTGGTATGTTGTTGTTATCCACGATTTTAATTTTAAAGTGATTTTGGAGAAACGTTTTCGCTTTATACGTTTCCAGAAGAATGTAGAGCTCGACCAGCTTTACAAAACGATAAGACAGTAATTTTGAAAGCTGGGCTTTCTGAAAAATCCAGATTTCAGAAACCGAGCATGTTCTATATCATTTTGTAGATCTTGACGAGTTTCACATGATCCAGTTTAAAACAGACTTATCGACGGACCGATTCGGGATTGGCTGCTAACTTGATTCAAAATTGAAATTGTGATCAAATCAGTATACATACGGTTTCACCCACAACCTCAATTTTGAAGTGAGCTATCCTGAAATCTGCCCGTCGACAAGTATAGTTCAAATTGGATCATGTAGAACTCACCAAGCTCTGCAAAATGATATAAAACATGCTCGGTTTCTGAAATCAGGGTTTTTCAGAAAGCCCAGCTTCGAAAGCTACTGTCTGATCGTTTCGTAGAGCTGATTGAGCTCCACAATCTCCGGTTTAATCTGGATTTTTGGGAAACGCTTTATATCAAAAATGAATTTCTTCCAGGCCTTCTGTTTGCCACGGAACGAGAAAGTGGCGATCAAATGCATCAATTTGGAAAAGTGCCAAACGTCGGTGGATGAGTTGAGTCACGAAATTCAGGCGATGTCTCAGTGCAACCATCCGAATGTCGTCAGTTATTACACCTCGTTCATCGCACAGGAGGAGTTGTGGGTCGTGATGCGCCTTCTGAATTGTGGATCCATGTTGGATATATTGAAACGGAAGGTTAAGGTGAGTGATCTATGAACATATAGGGTCGAAGAGTCTAGGAACCTGAGGATCACATAAAAAGTCCGCAACCAGAACTATAGGGAACCTGAAAGTTTAAAATTCCAAAATTTTAAATAAATCTTTTTAGGTTTCACCCAAATCGGTTCACTAGAAGTTAAGTAAAATCAGTTCCTAAATAACTTTTGCTGAAAAAATCGTGTTTATTTCTAGGCCATCGGAAAAGAACAAGCCCAGTTTGGCGTCCTCGACGAGGTATCTATCGCTACAGTTCTCCGTGAAGTATTGAAAGGGCTTGAATATTTCCATTTGAATGGGCAAATACATCGTGACATAAAAGCCGGTAACATTCTGCTCGCCGACGATGGCACTATCCAAATCGCTGATTTCGGAGTTTCCGGATGGTTGGCATCGTCAGGAGGAGACCTTTCGAGACAGGTTAGTTTAATGGATTTTGGTGGAAGTTTAAATCTTTAGAGTTCATTTTTAGCACATTACAAAAATCTGATAGTATCTTTTAAACCAGAAATTCGCAGTTTTAGAAGCTTCTGGATTTTAAATATTTAGACTTTATAATTGGAATCTTCCAGAAAGTCCGCCACACATTCGTCGGCACCCCGTGCTGGATGGCTCCAGAAGTCATGGAACAAGTCCAAGGATACGACTTCAAGGCCGATATATGGTCTTTAGGAATCCTGGCAATCGAGCTGGCCACCGGAACAGCCCCATATCATAAGTATCCGCCAATGAAAGTGCTTATGTTGACCCTCCAAAACGATCCACCAACTTTGGAAACGAATGCAGAACGGAAGGATCAGTACAAGGCTTACGGGAAGTCGTTCAAGACACTTATCAGGGATTGTTTGCAGGTATCATTTGTTAAGTATCATTAGTAATTGCAATTGAGAATTCTTTCAGAAAGATCCAGCTAAAAGGCCAACAGCTTCAGAACTTCTCAAGTACTCATTCTTCAAGAAGGCCAAAGACAAGAAGTACCTGGTCCACACCCTCATCGAGAATCTCGCTTCCGTTCCCGTCGTCTCACATCACTCGTCGAAAAAAGTGGCGTCTGGAAAGTTGAGGAAAGACGCTCATGGAAACTGGGAATTCGAGTACGATTCGCCACAGGAGAGTGATAGTGATGAGGATGAGGAGAGGGAAAAGAAGAAGGAGAAGAAGGAGCAGGCGGCGGCGGCCGCTGCTGCAGCCGCACCAGCTCAAGCTACAGAAGCGGGCAATCAGTCGTCGGAGACGTTGAATATGGTGTTGAGAGTGAGAAATCAGCAAAGAGAATTGAACGACATCAAGTTTGATTATACCAAATCATCTGATACTGGTACGGAAATGAGTTATATACAATCTAGAAGTTTTTCAGGAGCTTCTAGACCGTTTCTAGATTCTATGATATGCCTGGTAACAGATGTTTCCGGGAATCTGAGAAGCTTTTAGAACGTTCTGTGATTCGTCTAGAAACAAAAAGTCTTTTAGAAGCATCTAGAAGACTCCTAGAAGCTTTCAGACAATTTTCAGCTTCTAATAGATTCCTGAAAGCTTTTAGATAGTTTACAGCTTCTGAAGGTATCCAGAACCTTCTAAGAATTTTTCTAGCTTTTGAAGAACTCATCGAATACGTCTAGTTAAAACCCCACATCTTTCAGAAGCTTTTATACAATTGATAAATTGATTTGAACCTAGGAATACTATCCAGACGTTTTTAGAATCTAGCGTAGAAACTATGAATGTCTGAGCTTCTGTGAGATTCCAGAGACAACTGGATATCTGTTAGGCGCTTCCAGAAGCTTTCAGAAGCTTACAAATATTTGAAACACTCCTGAAGCATTAAAAACCTTTCCCCCATTTTCAGTAGAAGGAATCGCCCACGAACTCGTCACCGCCGAGCTGATAGACTGTCACGATCTGGTCATAGTCGCCGCCAACCTACAAAAATTGATCGATTACGCCGGAAGCAAATCCGATCGACGATCCATAACGTTCGCATTGAATTCAGGAGTTCATGCAAATGAGGTGAGTCTTTAGTTTCTTTGTTCGCGGATTTCATCTGAAAGTGTTTGTTGAAAGTTCCCCGCGTGAAAATCTATCTGCCAGAGAGTTTTGTCAGGTGCCTAGGCTTAGTTTCAGCTCGCCAACGTCATTAATCCCTCATCTAGAAGTATATGTGCGCCGCGCGTGAGAAACAAAGTCCCCCGATATGTGTATGTGAGCCGTTGGCTCTTTGTCGCCGTCGAAGAGTCTTCGCGTTGTCCTCCACGTACACTCCTAGCGCTCATACACTCACAAACACACACGCACACACAAACATTTTTTTTCATGTTGCCTGCTCACGCTCACAGCTCTCGGGTCTTCGCTGTGAAGCTGTCCCTCCTAGCCGGTCAAACGAGAGAGAGACGGCAAGAGTGGACACGCGAGGTTGATGAAGGGAATGATGATGATGACTGTCCGGGTCGCAGGCAGCAACAGCAGCCAGTGGCAACAGCGCGACCGACGGCGCCCTCAGTTTTTCAAAGGAAACAGAGAATGCATCTGCCCCCACACACACAGCTTTGCCACACTAACGGGCAAGCCGCCTCATACGGGACATGGAAAAAAGGAAGAAGTGGCCAAAGACGCAACACAGAAGGAGAATGGCGACAGATGGGGTACTCTCTGACGCAAGATAGCCTAGGATAGAGTTACGCAAGACACCTTCAGTGTAGGTCTTATAAGGCGTTCCATAGGCTTAGAAGTTGTCTTTATCAGAGCCGCGCTAAGCTTTTGGGTACAGCTGGTCGTTTGGCTAATTGGAAGGACTGGTCATTTAGCTAATTGGAATGAGAATCGGCAGGAGAGCAAAGATCCGGAGGATAAGGTGATCGGCATCTTAATGGTTAGGGCTTGTTAATCTTTGTAGAACGGACAGGGTTACGGTAGGACAAGCTCAGATCCGATTAGAATGGATGCAGAAGGTAGAAGAAGACAGTTTAATTGAAAGGATCGCTCAGATTTGTCGTGTTGGTAGCAGTAGGAGTTGCCCGAGGATCTGGAATGCTACGTCTTCTGAATCTATACTGTCTGAAACCTAGGCCTATCTCTTTTTCTAGATCTACGCTTTCCGGTCTCAACCAATCAAGCTTGCTCAATTTGAAGTGGGCAATGGATGTCGATCCCTTCCCTTCACAATTGATTGTCCTCTGTGGCTTCACTCTTCTCCCACCTACATGATTAACTGTGTGCGCATTTTACATCCCCCGATTACCTCACACATTGCACCTGTCCTCCCGTTTTTTTGCTTTACACGACATCTAGTCGATTAGTAATAATCTGGCGACCCGAAACCACCTGCATTGGTTTTCTACTGTAGAACCTTTTCTACAGTACCCCTTGACTATGAATTACCGCAGTTTGTAAACACACACATATATGTTAGTTAGTTAGTGGTCAGATTTCTTCTAGAGAAATTTGATTCCAATCAACGAAGTGAAGAGAAGAGAGTCACGTCGTTTCTCATTTTCCCACTACTCACACCAGAAGACGACGTATATACAAACCGTCGTCCGTGTCATGACTGACTTGTTTACTGCGTTGCAATTTTTCATCGGTTTCCCAAAATTCTTGTACACAGTTCCCCTGGTTCTTTGATGTTATTTGTATGTGTGTGTGTGCCCAAAAAGATGCATCGGTTTTCTTTCTCGACGACGACGATGTCCTCTTCTTCAATAATTCATTGCCTGAGTAGTCCTGGTGGCAAAAGAGAAGGAGATGAGCTGGATTATGAATACAAGAGCTTAGAACGGTGTCGTCTTTTAGTCTAATTGGGAAGTTATGAATAGAGGGATATGATCATGAGATGTGGAAGAGTATGATCATGAGATGTGGAAGAGTATAGGAAGATCGGATTTGGTTTTGGAGGTCTGAAAACTGAAGCAGCGAGAATAATGGGAAAAAAAGCATAGTTGCAAGCGGGCCGGCTGATAACTTGTCTCCAAAATGAGGTATTTAGACGGTTTTGTTACCAAATGATAGATCTCGACAGGGCCCATCACGTCTATATCATCTCAGCAGGATTCCGATCAAACAATATGTCGAAAAATGTGCTTGAATGTTTGAGTGAGATCTACCATTTGGTACCAAAACCGTCTGAATATATCGTTTTAAAGACAAGTTATCAGCCGGCGTGCCACCTGCCCGGGCCGGCCCGCTTGAAACTATGGAAAATAGACTCTGGACATTTCGCCTCCGTGGTAATAGAGTCGAATGGATGGCTTCCTGAAATTGGAGAAATTAAAAATGTATTTTGGAAATTGTTTTCTATCAAAAAACGCGTTTTTGAAAACTCTACATTTGTTTTTGTAGTCAGAAATCTATTCACTCTAGCAGAGGCTCTGCCACACCTCCATTTACTCCAATTTCCTGCCTAGATACAGTAGTCTAACCCCCCCCCCCTCCACACACATCTAATAGAAAACGCAGATGCAACCGGAAATTAAAAACCATAATGTTATATTCGATTCTATTCAGGTTCCCGACGAGCGGACTCTGACAGGATTCGCCCAAATTTCGTTGCTCGATTGAGTCAAGAGAGAGTCAAGAGCGACAACCATTTTTAATTTTTTTTTCATTTCAACTCGTTTCTTCTTTTTTTATCCTATTCTATTTTTTGTTGTTGTAAAATCTAGGTCCACACACAAAAAGAACATAGTCATTTTTCCATTTCCCCATTCATTTTCTTCCATGCTTCTTCTTCTTTTTTCGTTTTCGTTCAGAGTTCATATAAAAACAGTGATTAAAAGTGATTCCCCCGCCCTTTTAATAAAAGCAAAAAGTTCTGTATAAAAAACACCCTCCTATTCGGCTGGTCTTATTCTTATTCTTCTTCTTCTATTTGCTCCACTCTCTGCTATTTTACCGTCTTCTTCTTCTTTTTTTTTAGATGAATAAATGGATTTTTATAGTTACACCATACATTTTTTTTTCTTTCATTGATTTTCTTGTTGAAGCTTCTAACGTTTCCTTATTTTGCTTCTGCTTGATCTCCTTCTCTCTGATGTTTCATGGTTGACGAGAAAGAGAAGAAGCTCTGCGTCTCTCTTTATTCAATCGTTACCTATGGACTTGAGAGCTGCTGACAAAAGTGGGCGTGGCTTGCTGAAACACACTCGCAGCGCACGCTTTCATTTTAAGCTGTATAAGTGTGAGAGGACGTGAGCTGCTGCTCCGTCGTCCTCTTTTTTTTGTTCGGGAGATGGACGTCTCGTATGTGGGGTCCCTAACGGACTTGTAGGTTTTGTGTAGGGGTATCGGGTGTCCTAGAAAAGTCACTGAATTTTTTATATAGGGCTTAGATTCGAAGAATCTGTTTTTGAAGGTTTTTTCGCATCAGAGGGTTATAAGTATCTTGCGCTTCAAACCAGCATTCAATAGAAATAGATTTGCTTAGGATTCTGATCTCACTTGGAAGATCCCAACTTCCAGTCTAGTTTGTTTTAGATCGTTAAAATCGAGATCTCACATAGCTCTAGATTTACGGTTCATTAGAATTTCCTAAAGGTGTTTTAAAGGGACAGGGTGAGACTTGAGACTGGGACTTGTTAGCTCTCGGCAAGTAGTACAATTAGACTACCAGGATATCTAGGTTGTGAAGAGATTAGTTTTCTTCCAAGTGAGAAGCGAGTGAAGCTCAGTGCTAATCTAACACCCTCTGAAGCTCAGTGCTAATCTAACACCTCCTGCGCGACCTCTGGGCCGGAGACTTCAGCTAGCCCTCACACTGCTTATCAATGTTTCTTGACCACCATGTCCTTCTTCTTCTTCTCTCTTATCCTTCACCCTTCTCTCCTTCTTTCCGTTGCTCCTTCCCTCGAAGCATACACACACGGCCCCGCGATGGTTGGTGTAAACCCTTGTGTCCTCTTCCTCTCCTCTACTTTGCATCGTTTTCCCCCTATCACAAGTCCTAGTACACATAATGTCTGCTACCCACACTCTCTCACTTTTCTATGTCCTGTCTAACCACCATCCAATTCTCCTATACTCCCTCGCTGGCCGATGTGGCCTCGCGCGCGCAAACGTCGATTCGTCGTCCTTGTGTATAGGCGAAGGAAAGACTCACACTCTCTTCTCCGCAACACACAACCCGCCGTCCAACCAACCAATCGACGAGCGGCTGGGGTCGTGCGCAGCGGTCGCGTCGCGGTTCTTCCTCCTGTTAGTTTTCGTATTTCTCACGCAATGCATTACTCTCTCGTCGTCTCGTCCACACTATCTCCGCGGCTGGTTGGTCTGTGCCGTTGTGGAGAGTAGAGTCGTAGTCGTCGTTGTGCGTCGCACACCACCCGCCGGCCCGTCGACGCGTTTTTTTTTTGGTTAGCTTTTGTTGTCTCTCATTGTGAGCTGATGACTTTTTTAGAGATAAACATGACCTCCCGGTGCGGTTATGTAGATTTATCGATTTTTCAAAGTTTACACATGTGACTTGTCGACTCCTTCAGCAGCTGTGTGTGATTAGCTTTCGGACTATCGATCGAATGTCAAACTCTCTTTTCATTCCGTTAACCTCACTGTTAGATTTTTGTCTATGTATTAGTTAGTTGCTCTAGTTCCCAACAGTCGCTGCATTGTAAATTTAGATCAATCTTGAACTTCAACATCCTTGTATCCTTTTGTCATCTCCATGTACTGACCCGAAAAAAGTCTGTACTATTTGTTAACCCATTCTCTGTACTTGGAATAGTTTTGAGTCTAAAATAATTAGTTTCAACTCGCACCTGACTCCTATGTGATGTTGTTGACCTCTTCTCTCTGCGTCTCTCCTATTTCCTTCTGCTGCTCATCATTAAGTTTTCAGTGTCATGGTTTTCGAATAGCAACTTAAACATTGTATTTGGTCCTAACATAATTGTGTAGAGCTTAACGAGCTCTTTAAATTCATATATCATACCACTAGGCTGTTCAGAATCTTTTTGTGCTGAGCAACACTTCGAATCTATGAAAAATATTGAACAGGGAGAGTCCCACCCCTTTCTCATCAAATTTCAGCCACTTAGTTATCGAGTGACGCCTCCTCAAGGTCATTTTCAATGCGCCTATATCAAACCGTTTACCAATTTTCCCTTTCCAACTGTTCTCTCGTTCTTTCTTCTTCTTCTTTTTTTTTTTCATTAAACTAATCTTACTTTTACTTCAGATACATCTCTCTTTTCGTCAGAATCGCGTCGCTTCCGTTTTTGCAAAAAATCGCCGTAACGCCCCCAACCACCACCAACAACTTCTACCCTGTTCGCCCCCGACGACCTCGGAGAGATGGCCAATCAGTGAATTTCGGTTGGCAGACTGATTAGAAGGAGAGAGAAGAGACAAAGTAACGAAAAAAGAACAACATCAACTTTGAAGGAGAGACCTAGGGAATGAGTGAAAGCGATCAAGAAAAGGTAAGTGCTAGGGTGAAGGTTCTAGTAAAAATAACAAATTTCCAGGCCGCTCGTGAGCGTGCCATGCGGGAGATGCGGATTGCTGAACAACAACAACCAACAAGGCCAAGGCGTGGACCTAGAACACCGGTGAGTATTTGGTTTATGAGATTGTTCGCCCTGTTGAGAACTATTTCCACAAGGACGCTCCATTGAGAATGATCCTCTTTTCCAGGAAGGCGACCCGGACGATGAACGACCGAGCTCCTCCACCTCTACTATTAGCAGTGATTCGTCAATCGCCGCAGCGCAGTGAGTTTTTTAAACTTGTGTGTGAAGAATCTTCTTGGTGACCTTATCGGTAGTTTTTTAAACATTCTAAAAAGTGCAACTTATGGGATTTTCTTGTTTTTTCTTTGATGTACCGTAAAACCTGTAATAGAAGGGCCTTCTAAAATTTTTTTTTTGACTTTGAGCCAATTTATCGCGGTTCATGTCAAAGATATCAAGAAGGTGGCAACTGATGAATTGTTTATCATTATATCACAAACAGGATCCAAGATACATAAGCTCAAATTTGACAATATGGGGGCCCTTCTATTACAGGTTTTACGGTAATTCCGAATTTAACAAATTCTATAGCTTTAGAAGGCAGAATTTTAAGTTCTCTGAAAATCCATTTATTGATAGAAATCTGGATCAAAATCTTCTTTTGTTGTTCATCGTAGAATTATTATTAATTTTCAATTCCAGACACCGACCGGCTCGTCGTGGTCCCGGAACTCCTCCACTACCACCACCATCGGATACGGCCTTCTATGAACAGTGAGTTGCTTTAAAACGTTATTTCTGAAATAAATGTTTTTTTGCAGACATTTTATGCATCACTACGCAGCATACGGATATCCGTATCCTCCTGGAACACCTGGTAAGTGTTTGAATTTGATAAAAAGATGGTATTATCACAAAAAAAATTGACTCGTAATTTTTACTGATTTTGTGACGACGTTATTTTCTGTTAAAATCTTTAAAAAGCTGTACATGTAGATAACAAACAAAAATTTTATTTCTGACTGATTCTGGAGCACCAAAACGTCTTTCAGTTAGTGACGTCACTTTGTTTGAAGCTTGAAATAGTATTTCTATCTACAAAGCCGAAACAAAAATATGGAAAAAAATTGGAAAAATATGGAAAAAAAAAATTATATAAATTCTAACCATATGAATTTACGAATTCTAAACTTGGATTCTGAAGGAAGTTAATTTTTTTTAAACCCGTTCTAGTTAGTATGGTTGTTTCCGTCAAAACTACCTTCAAAATTCCAAATATCCTAATTCTGAACAAATTTCCTTATTTTCCAGGCGCACATGTACTCGCTTCCTACCCCTACTACCAACAGCAATACTACCAGTACGGCCTTCCTCCACCACCAGCGCCACCAACCCAACCATTCGCCCACCAAGTGCCCGTCGCCATTCCACCGCCACCACAACCGCCACGTCTCGACACAAATGTTCCACCACCACCACCAAAACCCGCGGACTCTCAGAGAACCATGGTATGGGGACCAGCCGTTCAGCCAGCATCATCTTCTCCCCTCCCACCAGTATCTGTACTCTCACACGGTGTTACCCCGATTCTGAAGTTGTCGCCAAATTCGATAACAGGAAGTTCGGGATTCATAGAGAATGCGTCGTTTGCCTTCGAAGCCGCCGAGCCTGCTCTCGCTACTCCTAAACCGCCCAAGAAGCATGTCACTGTTGAGGCACCGTCTGATATACTCTCAGGAGCACATCGGACTACTGTGTCTAGTAGTAAGAAGACTGAAAGATCGGTAAGAATGAACGAAATTGATTTTAATTATTTCGAAATTTGATATTTCAGCAGTTACGTAATGTTCCAACTTCTCTGCCTAGCGATGTACCAACCTCTTCCCATCATCAATCGACACCACCCGCTAGATACAGGGACGTATCGCCTCCGATGATTCAAGACGCTTCGTTCTCCGAGATGCTCAACCCGAAACCTCAATACATTCGGCCACAGCGTACCTTCACACCTACTCACTCTCCAGAAGAAGAAGAACGACGACGACGGCAAATGGAAGAGGAAAGGATGGAAGAGGAACTGCTGCGGATGCGAGAGGCCGAGGAGGAAGAGGAGAGGGCGAGAAAGAGAGAGTTGAGGGAAAGAGAGGAGGAATATAGACGAATGGAAATGGAGAGGAAGGCGGAGGAAGAGAAAGAGACGATGAAAGATGAGGATGAAGAGAAGGTACTGGAAACTCCAGCGCTAGAGATTCGTGAATTGCCCTGCGAGTTTTTTATAACTTCTCATCTTCCTATGAATGCTCAGCAGACTGGAACTTCTGCTGAGAAGAGCACAGAGGCTCTAGAAGACGTTAAGTCAGAAGAAAAGGCTCCGGAAGAGACAATCTCGAAACCATCAGTAGCTTCCAAGTCTACTGAAACGTCTCAAGAAACAACAATAAGCCCAGCTCCTATCCTGAAAGTTCCACCGAAGCCAAAGCCGATCTACACCGCACAACGATCGCTGAGCATTCCATCCAAGAAGGCTGCTCCCACACCAACCACCCCCATATCGACTCTGAGAGCTAGAATGGAAGCGGTGCGGAACAAGAAGGTTGAAATGTTGAGGAATCCGGATAAGGCTACACCGAAGCCGATCATGTCTTTGGAGAGTGTGAAGAAGGAGGAGAAGCATCCGGAGACGTCGAATGGTTACCATAAGAATGGGACAGTTGAAATGAATGGGTTCAGCAGCAAACCTGAGACGTCGAATGGTTATAATAAGGAATATCATAAGCGTCGGGATGAATCTAATGGGCATCAAGAGCGGAAGAAGGATCACTATGAGGCGAGTGAGCGAAAGCATCGTGAGGAACGCAGACGAGAAGAAGAGAGACAAAGAGAGGAAGAACGAAGAAGAGAGAAAGATCGCAAGAAGAAGTACGACGAAGATCGGAAGCATCGTGAGCGCTCTGAGAAGCACCGAGACACCGAGAAAAGCAGAAAGCATAGATCACCATCGCCAAAGTGTGAAGAAAAGCCCCCTGTCCAGCAACCAGTCAATGCCGATGAACCCCATGTATCGTTAGACGACTCTGCAGACCGTCTGGTTGTTGAATCCCTCGTCGCACTTTCCAGCCACAGAGACACAAACACTCCAGACAACATGGACTCATCGTTCTACTCCGAGGAGCCGACACCAGTGAAGAATCAAGAGCCATTCATGGTGTTTGACAAGCTGAAGGCTAAGATTCGTGACGACGCTGTCAACATGGAACAGGACAAGTCGTTTGGTTTATTGCCACCTGCCGAGCCTTGTCTTGTCTACTCACTTCACACGCATCCAGAGCCTATCCAGATTCCAGCGCCAGTGATGGAAGAAGAGTTGAAGCCCGCACCATTTGAAGAGGAACCGGTTCAAGAGGAGGTCGTCGAGCAAGAAGAATTAATTGTCGAGCAGCAACCAGAACCTACCGAGATGGCTCCACAGGAAAGAGTACAAGAAGGAGCTGATGACGAGCAACGCGGCGTGCGTGAGGATTCTGTTGAGATTGATGTGTGTGCCGACTATGTGAACCCGGCACTTACCTTAGATGACTGGCAACCAAACTACGACGGTTTCCAACCAATTTGTCAATGGGATACGGACGGTCAGAGGCGTGGTACTCCGGATTATGATGATGAAGAATCAGTGGTAGAGCACCAGGCGCAGCCAGTGATGCAGCCAGTCTTGGAGGAAAATGTTGAAGCCGTGGAACCAGTTGTCCAGGAAGTAGTTACCTTTGCGCCAGAACATAATTACGAACCAGTGGCACCGAAACCCATCGTACCAGTGGCTGAATCAGATCCTCCAGTTGTACTTGAGCCAGTTGCCCCAGCGGAAACAGAACCCCAACTTGAATCTCAATCGACCGCTATCGATGAGACTATCGCCGCTGTCGCCGCTGCGGCAGCAATCATTTCCGCGAGAACCGCCCAGGCTAGAAGTCATCGATCGCCATCGGTAGCGTCCGGAGGCGCTCCAGAAAACAACAGGGATCATAGAAGTCCGTCGATTCCTTATCAGAATGGAACTCGCCAAAATGGTCACACACGCTCCCCATCGATTGCTCCGACATCTGTGCAAGACAAACCAATGAGGCGTCCACTCCCAGGAGACCAAAGCGACCATGATGATGATAAGCCAGGACCATCTCAACCACCAAAGAAGGACGTTCCACGTGTCATCACAAAAGCCGCTTTGAAACAAGGCGTTCTACAGACTCCACCACCACAACGAAGAATGCGTCAACTCGACTCGACACCAGATCCTGAAGAGGATGAAATCGTTGCCAAACCTCCACCACGACCGCCGCCGAAACTTGGTCCAGTGGCTCGAGTTATAGCTCACGCTCGAGCGGGATCCCTGCAACCAGATGCTTCCGACGATCGTCGTGATGCTCGACGTGGCCTTCCGTACCGACCACCATCACCTGTCCGTGGAAGTGGGCGTGGACGCGGACGAGGTCGTCCTCCAGGAACAACAACTTCATCTCGAGGCTCTGCCGTTGTCAGTACTCGTGGAAGAGGACGTGGACGTGGAGCCGCAGCAGCAGCAGCTATTCAACCACCGCGACCACTTCAAGAGATCAACCTGAATCAAGACGAGGAGATCAGAAATCGGAGATCTGTATCAGTGGCACGCGAAGTTGCTCCTGCTTCGGATCACGGATTGAGTGCAATTATGCGTCGACTGATAGGTCTTGAGCAACAGGCATCTGATAGTAATAGGAAGCGAGTCATCGCAACGGAAAATGGAGGCACGTTCGTAGCGCCAGTTCCACCGAAACGAATCAAAACGGAAGACAGCCGCAACAATCCGGTGATGCAAGAACTTCACAGAATTCGCGACTCGATTGTCGGTGAGATTGACGTGGGAGATCAGCTTAATGAGGAGGGTGAAACGACGCTTGAAGGAATCTGCTACCCGAAGAAAGAGAAAAAAGAGCCATCGAGTTCAAGTGATGATCGTTCCGGAAATTCCGCCGCCGATGATATAATCCATGTGGATTCTCGTTCGGCTGTTCTGGCGAAGATGGCGTGTCGTGCGAAGGAAGAGGATCCGAGTAGTATTTCGATGACAACACTGTCAGCTATGAAGCTCGTGGAGAAGGAGATGGCGGAGCGTGAGGCTCACAAAGGAATGCGTGTCATAAAGCCCGAATTTTTGTGGTCCAAAATGGCCGCAAAAGGAGTCACTTGGTCATCGCCGGCAACAGAAAGAAATTTGAATCTTATCGCTCAGAATTGCGATGTTCCGAAGATTTCGGAGAAGGTAAGGAGTCTCTACGAAGAACCTTTATATATCTAAATATCTCTACTTTTTCAGTTCCGCCCTCACATTCGCATTACCAAGCATCCGAACGGTGGAGGCTTCATGCTCTTTGCCGACTATCACCTTTTCAAGAAAGACTTCCCCGATTATGATGATCGGTAAGCTACACACCATCTAAGTCGAAATTTGAACACCCGTCAATTTCTTTCAGCGTCGCATTCTGTCGTCAATTCCAGCGACTCTCGATGGTCGAGAGCGAACAGGGAACAGCGCAATTTTGTATTGCCAACATGGAAAACGGTGCTGAGGATTTGAGAAATATGATGGAGTTTCTGTATGAAGTGGCACCGGAGCTTAATATCAAATGTGGAAACTTCAATGCAGGAATTCTTAACACACAGACGAAGAAATTTTCAGAGTATTATGAGAAAGTTTTGGAGAATTATGACTCTGGAACGTTCAAGTAAGAATAATAAACTTTAGAAATTCGTAGAAAAATATTGATTTTTTCAGATGGAGTCCATTGGAAGCCGTTCAACTGGTTGGAAAGAAGGCCGAAGAGAGCGGTGGCTACTTCCCTGATCTAATCTATGAAATGGAAAAACACGCCTTCCTCAATTCAATCCTTCCATGGGGAAACTTCACCACTCGAGCCAACACAGCCCATCGCGACTCAAACGATGGTCCGATCCTTTGGGTTCGTCCTGGCGAGCAGACGGTGCCAACCAGCAACTCCGGAACCACTTCATTGCGAGCTGCCGGTAATCGTGAAATTGAATTCCTGGATCGTACACCAGCACATGCCGATCAGGCTGACGATCCGGAGGCTACTCGGATAACGACAGGTGCCATTGGAATTCTTCAAGGAATACCGGGAAAACAAGCCGACTATCCAGAAGAGCGACGTGTGATGAAAGAAGTCGTGTCGTTCTTCGCTGGGGACATTGAAGAGGTTGTCAAAACTCTCAAGATAGATCTGTTCGAGCCTCCAGCTACTCAGGTAAGGAAACTATTTTAGATAAATTCCATTAGCTTCAGTTCTATGAATTTTGGAACCAAAATCAAAAAGATCTCATAAAAAATTGTATACCATAATTGAAAAGGTACCATGAAACATTTGGTACCATAATGAAAAATATGCCATCGAAAGCATTTGTACCATAATAAAAAATATACCATAATTAAATAATTTTTTTCCAGACCACGATGTGGGTAGACGACGCAAAACTGAACACAATGCGCCGCTCTGGCATCAGATATGCGAAATTCGAGCTTCGCGAAAACGATCTCTACTTCATTCCTCGAAAAGTTGTCCATCAATTCCGTACGGTATCCGCATGCGTCTCGCTTGCATGGCATGTACGTCTTCAACACTACTATAACAATGATCAAAACTATGAAGCGACAGTCCATGAGACAATCAAACGATACGATGCTGAGTTCGATTCAGAAGGACCCTCCCCGGTGAGAGAGCCACGGGTCAGAAGATAATTGGATAAATAATTCATATATCACTTTTACTTTTGTTCTTCTTCGCTATTTTTTTACTAGTCAAAAATTGTTCCCTGTTTTTTTCTTTCTCTTTTTTTTATTGGTTAAGTTGTTTTTCTTTATTATCACACCAATCGATTCCAGAAAACTTTTTAAAAAACATTACGAAAAATCTCAAATTCCCCCCACAATCCTCCAAAAATTACCTCTATGCAATTTGCCGAACCGCCCCGGCACTCCCATCCCCCCAAAAATTCCGGTTTGATCTCAATTTTTGATTCTTTTTTCTCTTCATTTTCATTTTCCCGCCCATCGTCTACTATAATATTGTTTATTATGAGAATTATTTCATTATTATTTTCTTCTTCTTTTTTCCCGGCCACACCCCCACCCCTTCCTTATGTAGTTTTAGAAAGTATAAGAGTTGTTTTTTTTTCATAAATAATATACAAAATGTATAATAAACTTGTGAATTAATTGTACATCTGGTTTTCTTTTCAATTTTAGGAATAAGCTATAGATAGATCCAGTCTAATTAAGAAGAAAGTAGTTTTATATTTCAGTTAATTTATAGTTTCCGTGAAAGCTTCTCAAACTCCCGGAGAACTCCGAAATAACAGAGATCATTCTCTTTTGAAACACAACACATTTCAGTCCGAACCCTTTCTATTATAGGGTTCGAGACCGTCGATTTTGAAGTATTTATTAAGAATAAATAGTGAATGTAATGATAGATTGATATAATGATATTAGAAATTTGTGAAATGTCCATGAATGGAGAGAAAAGATCCGTGGTTTCGATAGAACATCATCTTCGATCCCTTTTTGATTCCGTTTTCCTTGTAGAGCGAAGGAGAAATTGTAAGGGGTTCCGCACCCCTTATTTGGACATTCCTAAGGTTCATCCGAATTCCATTCGGATGACTCATAGGATCGCTAAGTCTCAAGGATTGCATCATCTTTCGATAGAGCATGGGATATAGAAGGCTCTTCAGATTCTGTCCAGGACAGACGCTGGGTCTCCCCCTTTTCCGTGTCTCTGCCATTAAAATCATCAATCGTGGCTCTGATCGAAATCCGTTCCATTATCGATTGGGACTTCGCATGTATCTGGCGAAGAACTAGTGAAGATTTTAGAAAATGATACTCAAGTTCCTAAAAGCGTCGTAATTATTGCTTTTTCTAATACCTATAACTAGCTGTGGACAAGAAAATGATACGTGAGGGCTACTGCAGATTCAAGGAAAGGATACTAGGATTGCCTAAAATCTAGGAAGGACATCATTCTCATCTATCCATCAACAGTGCTGCGAGTATGGGACGAACCCACGGAACGGTAGCTCATTAATGGACAGACTCAAATGCTAGAGGAAGGAGGACTACTGTAGATTCAAGGAAAGGTTACTAGGATTGCTTAAAATCTAGGGAGGACATCATTCTCATCCACCCATCAACAGTGCTTCGAGATGGGACGAATCCACGGAACGGTAGCTCATTAATGGACAGACTCAACTGCTGACGAAAGGATGAGTGAGGAGATTGCTAAAATGGAGATTGGAGGAAAGTGATACTAAAATGTTTGAAACTAGTGTGATGGTACTTAGGAACTCAAAGGTCTACAGACAGATAAAGAGAGAATAGTAAACAGTTATCAAAATAATAATTATCATCTTCAGCTGTTCTCCGCCCGACCCATATCCTGATGCGTGTCGAGTTTTCTTCTCGTCTCCTGGTCCCTTCGAACTACTTAAATTGACATGCCTTCTGAAATTTTTGAGTTAAAAACTATATGTTCATATTAAATTACCGGCTAATCGCAAATGACCTCAACATTTTTCAGCTGCTGATGGGTGTGAGCTCTTCTGGTCCAACCTTCTCTTGATGATGCATTCTCTGAAAATGTATTGATTTGGTTTATCAAAAAATTTGAATAAGATTTAAAAAATTTGATTAAAATGCAAAAAATTTGACTAACATTCAGAAAATTTGACTGAAAATTGACTAAAATTCTACGAAAAAGTAAGAAAATTGACAGAAAAATAGCAAAGAAATATATTGAACATTTTCTAAAAGCAGAAAAAAGATCTAAGCATTTTCGAATCGTACCGGAAATTTTCAGAAGATGTTACCGTATTTCCTCTGATAGAACCCCACCCAACTTTGAGCACATCTATCTCAATTACTGTCAAAGATATCAAAAAGTCGTCCACTAATAAAATATTGGTGATATTGTGATAAATAGTTTATTAGTTTACAGCTTTCTGGTATCTTCTACAAGAATTGAGATTATGTGGCGCCAAAATCCGGGTGTTCTTTTTTCCTCGGTGCTGCAGAACCCTAACCTACCTCTTGATGGTAACATCATCATTTCATCTGCTTCCTAATTTTCGTCATTTCGGAAACAATAAATTGGAATCTTCGTGGCTATCCTATGGATTTGTGAGACTGATTCTCTTCGACTTGTTTGTTTCAGCAAGTTCGGGCCACAAACGGACGATGGGCAGCTCTGGAGATGAATTGAGTTTTTAAAGTGAACTTTTCGCATTATAATCTACCCATTGCTTTTATCCTGGACCTTGTTGAACTCCTTGAATGCCTCTAGAAGACACAGAATGGGTTGGTGGCACTTGAAGTTTGGTGGTAGGCGATGATTGGGGACCTGGAAACTTCAATTTATGCTCGAATAAGATGCCTAGAATGTTTTCAAGAAATAATTTGCTTGAAAAATGCAGGAAAAATGAGAGGAAATAGGAAAAATAATGATGATCAACTATTAAATTCAATTGGCGTCTAGAGTAGATCAAATGAATGAAAAATCAAACGTCTAGAGTAGATCAGTAGATCAAATCAAATGATGAACAAATGATCAAATCCCTACATGAGTAAAAAAAGTTTTCTCGAAAATTAACTTTTTTGTATTTTGCGGAAAAAAAAGAAGAAACAGAAAAACAAAGAAAGAAGGGGACAAGAGAAGAAAAATCAATAACCATGGATCGACATTGCAATGCCCGAGGGAAGGTTAAACATGGACTTTGCGAAAAAGGGGGGGGGGGTGGCAAAAGGCAATAAGTGGGACTAGGCGAGGTGAACACACCTATATTTGACGGGATCCAATCAATTAAAAAAAAATTTAAAAAATTTAAAGAAGGGACCCAGGGATTGGTTTTTTAAATCATACCTAGTTTTTTTAGGTCGTGACCTAGATTTTTAGGTCGTGACCTAGATTTTTCAGGTCACAACCTAGATTTTCTGGTCTAGGCCTAGATTTTTCAGGTCATAACCTAGATTTTCTGGTCTAGGCCTAGATTTTTCAGGTCACAACCTAGATTTTCTGGTCTAGGCCTAGATTTTTCAGGTCATAACCTAGATTTTTAGGTCGCGCCCTGATTTTTTTGAGGGATTGTTCTAGATTTTTTAGATCGTGACCTAGACTTTTCGGTGGTAATCTAAACCCAGGGACCCAGGGAGCCAAGGTAGATTTTTTTAGGTCATACCTAGATTTTTTCAGGTCATGGCCTAGATTATTTAGGCCGTGACCTAGATTTTTTAGGTCCTGATCTAAACCCATGGACCCAGGGACCCAGAGACCCAGTGACCCGGGGTCCATGGGACACAAGGACCCAAGGACCCTCCCCCAACAAACATTTTTGCTTCTAAAAGTTTTTTGATATTTTTTACAATAACCAAGATATATTGATTCAAAGGTAGCCACTATTATTACGAAAAAGCCCATACTCGATTCTAGAAATGAGCCAATCCAAACGTCCCAAACGCAAACTTCGCTCCGGACCGTTATTTTCTCCCGGGACCGCTGAAATCAGATAGAGTCCAGAATTGTTGTGAATAGACAGAGATCTCTTTAAAAAAACACCCAACATCAATTACAATTTTTTCTGATTCAAATATTAGAGTTTTTAAACAGCTGAATTAAACTTTTAAAAAACTCATGTCACAAACTACAATCTCAATGCAGAATATAAAATCAATAGGCCATAGTAATGACTTTCTACCGAACTTCGAAATTCTATGATTCAACACTTCTGAAATGTCTTTAATTATCTTTCAAAACCGATTCGGACCAAAAAAGCTGCTGAAAGCCAAAAATGCAAAAATAATCTAGAGAGCAGGTGAAGTCAAGACTCCAAAAAACTCTAAAAAAGCTCAAAACTTGGAAATTTATTCATAAATTGTTTTTAGCAATGTTTCTAGTCTTTTTTGTCTTCACCACCATCTTTTTCTTGTCCCTTATATTCAACATCTACCTGTTCTTTGTGATTTTCGCACAACCTGACAAAAGTGAGTTCTCTATATATTTGAAGATTGCAAAATTTGTTTTCAGATAAACTTCCCACTGTTTACATTTATAATATGATACTGAGTAGTTCTGTGGATATTGTGATCATGTTTTTGACATTTTTGATGCCAATGGCAATGGATGATGGTCCTTATTATGGTTTGAATTGTCTTTTTTTCCAAATAAAGGGGCAAATAGGAATTTCAGAGTTTCGGAGATCCATCGGTCAGTTTTTAACAATAAATTGCACATTTTTCTACGAGCATCCTTTGTATCTCACTTTGCTAATGATCATTCAAAGAATCTATGCAGTTTTTCGACCATTCAATAGACATTTCACCAATGAAAAGCTGTGGTTGTATTGTGGAATTATGGCGGTATGCAGGGGAATTCTCAATTCAACATATATCGGTTCCTAGAGAAAATAAGGAAGCATAGTCAATGTTTTGCTAAATCCATTAGGAGCCAACCCTAAGTTCAAAAGGTTACAGAATTCTTTTGGAATTCTTTTAATCAGTTTCCTCAGCTCTTCCAAATAACGTTCGGGAAGATCAACAGGCTTCGCTACTGTACCCAAAATACTTGGCCCACACTTTTGACTTCTCCAGATATTTTAATTTGGCTTTAAAGATAATCACTTTTTCATCGCCTATTACCTTTGTTAATATACCGAAAACACTCTAATAGAAGGCAACCCTATAATTGCAATTTGAGGTCCATTAACTCGGTTCCTATGAAAGATGTCAAAACCTGTCAACTAATAAAAAAATGCTGATAATTTGAGAAACATTTCATCAGTGGACTAATTTTTGATATCTTTTATAGCAACCGAGATAATTGAGTTCTAAGTGCACGCATAGGGTTGACTGCTGTTAGAACATTCACGGTATCTAACCTAGGACCAAGAAGTATTTAATCAAACTTTTCACCCAGATTTTCTCCTGGATATCCCTTCTGATTCCTTATTTCTCCGATTGTCCAGTAAATATAGACCAAAGGAGATACACGTTTGCAGTCGATTGTGCTGAACGTCATCCGGTGAGTTCGATGTGCATTTTGGAATGTCGCATGACACACAAGATAAATCACCTGCTCTGAGTTCAAAAACTGAATTATTTCAGATCACACTATTTCAAAATCGATACTTGATTGTTCTACCGTTCACAACGATGCTATTAAATATCTCTCTAATTTTTTATCTGACTCTTCAGAAAAGATTAGTGCTGAGCAGTTCAGTAGGGAATAGCAGTAAGACTATAATAGGGGCATTAGGAAGTTTGAATTTTTTGCAACTTTCAGCAACGTCTGTCACAGTGAATCGCCCGATTTTTCAACGATCCAAACAAAGAAAAAGTTTCGAAAAGATGCTGCTTTTCCAGTCGGTTTCCACAACTGCTTTTTTGTTGTTGTACGAAGTTAGCAGCTTCTTCATTCGAAACTTTTCGGTAGTTATTATGTCGGTATCCAAAAATAAAATAAAATTTCAGAAAGAGTACAGTCAGCTTTCCGAAGACCTTCGAATGTGGATATTCTACATAAGATTGACGCCAACAGCACTATTCTGTTTTCTGATCTATTACATTGGGACGCCTTCTATTCGACGTCTTCTAATTGAGAGAACTAAATTGTTGTATAAAGGAAGTTATGAGGCAACAACGGTTATTCAGATGTGATATTTTGTTTCGAACATTTTAATAAACTTTTTTCGCCTTTTTAATTAAAAGAGGCGAGACATAAAGACAAAAAATTTTCTAGATATTTTGACGCTGAGCTACACGGGCGCGAAGCCGACTGCAGACCGATGATCACAAACTCGGCGATTTTGAGGAAAATTTAAATGACAGCATAATGCATTTTCTAGATTCAGCAGTATTGAAAGGAATGTTTTGACTTATCCTAAACACTCTAATAGAATGCCACCATATACTTGCACTTTTAGCTCAATTATCTTACATTCTATAAGAGAAGTTTGTCCCATACTCGCAGCACTTAAAGAAATATCAAAAGTTTGTCAACTGATAAAATTCTTGTCTGATAAAATGCTATCAGGTGTTTTGTCAATAGAAAAACTTTTGACATCTCCTATAGAAGTTGGGATATTTGAGCTCGAAATGCAAGTATTAGGTTGTTCAATAAATAGTGGTCACTTTCACTTCGCTCTACCGTTGCTTATCCAATTTTGGGTTTTTTTTTTCAATTCTGTTTCTATATTTATAGACGTCACACATTGCATGTTTAATAGACATTTAAAAATTCCGAATGGACTGTCTAACGGCCGAGGATTTTCTCGATAACGGACACATACTCAAAAGTGTTTCTTTGATCATATGTTTCCAAGGTCTCTCGAACAACGACCATTAGCGAGCAGAGTGCAAAATGTTAGACGTAGACCTCATCTCTCGAACCACGATTGAAATTTGGTTCAAAAGATTCAAATAAGAAAATTATGATCTGGATCATAAACCAATACCCAAAAGGCCTAGCCTTAATAAAAATGAAAATATTTTAATGATACTGGAGGAAAAGCTCTGTGCTACATTGCGTGCATTATCTTTGACAGCCCACCATCCTAATAGCACCGTAACATATCATGTTCCTCAAACGGGAAGAGCTCGGAGAGTCGATCAAATCGTTCCCCACATTTTGACCAATTTTTAGAAAAAGGTCCGATGAGACCTGTCCGTTTCTCTCATCTCCAGGAAACCGACGACGGACTGGGTCAACAAAACAATCATTGGAGATGATGAACGGGTACTGTATGTTAACAATGCCAGTAAGCACCTATGGCTCTCTGCAAAGGAAACGGTGGAATCGGTCTCAAAAGGCAACCTTCAAGAAAAAATCAGATTTTTCCGATTCGGTTAGACAGTGCTGAAGTAAAATACCGCAAGCTGCTTCCGGATTCCTATGTCATCAACTTTGGCTCTACTGCTTTCAAATAGAAAGTGGTATTTATGCACATCGCTCTCACCTCTAGAGAGGCTCAGTGTTGAAATTTTTGCATGACAACGAAAAACCACACAAATATTCGAAGAGCCGTTACAAACTCCATCTTCTAGGAGTCGAAGTTTTGCATTGCCCATCGTACACAGCCGACCCGGCACTAGCTAATTACTACCATATCCGATTTCTCCAGAATCGTCTTGCTGGTGAGAAAGTCCATGATCGGAAGGATGTCAAGAAATTTTTGGAACACTGTTTTGCCTCTAAGTCGCTAGAGTTCTACGCGAACGGATTTGACCAACTTCCGTTGCGCTGGCAAGAAGCTATGAACTCCAATGGCGAAATAATTTCTCAATGATTCTTGTTTTCCTTGAAGAAAAAACTACTTGAAGAAAAGTGACCAATATTTATTGAACAACCTAATATAAAGTGGCCTTCAATTAGAGTGTTTACGGTATTTCGTGACTCATTCTCATCAACTAGAAACCCTTTTTTACAAAATCACAAAAAACAAGTTCCAAACTAAAAATCGCATTGGTGACAAACAGAAATCTCTGGCGCCTTGCTCCCCCTATAATTTAAAATGGGCTAATGCCACCATCACGTGGTTTTTCATCAATCTCCCCACACCACAAAGCAAATTCAGCATTTTTGTTGATAGCTCCAGGTGTCTAGTCTTTTCAGTATTTTTGAATTTCAGATTTCCTTCTAGATTTCCTCACCGTAAAACCTGTGCTAGAAGGGCCCTCTAACTTTTGAGTCAATTTTTCTCTGTTCATGTGAAAGATATAGAAAATTGGTCAACTGACGTCTATATCATTTGAGCCGGATTCCAGTCCAATAACAACATGTCGAAAATATGTTTGAATCACAAAAAATCTACTTTTTGTCAAATTAGTCGAAAATTTTCACTCAAGCCCAGGTTGCGGCATGTTACCGGAATGAAATTAAGCCTTAATGGTATAGGCGTGATGGGCCCTGTCGAAATCTATCATTTGGTACCAAAACTGTCTGAATATCTCGTTCGAGTGACAAGTTATCAGCCGGCCCGCTTGCAAGTATGCCTAAAATTGTTATCCAAACTTATTGTTGTGACTTAAATTATAACATTTTTTAGAATTCCAGAAAACCAACAAATCTGTGCTACAAAACTCATTTCGCTCAATAAAAAACAGGTGAAACATAAAAGCCATGACTTATCATCATGCTAACCAGAATCACACACACAAAATACGTAACTTTATAATTTTTTCGAATAACGTTTTTTTTTTCAAAAATTCGGATCTTGTATTAACTGCATTAGCCATTTTAGGAAGTATGACCTAGTTTTTTTGTTAGCTCACTAAAACATTCAAGTCAATTCCAATTTCTCTATCTGGAATTCACTGAAAAACATCATTTTCCTCTCATAGGAAAAAGAACAGGTGAAATTCGATGAGAAAAACGTTAAAATTCTTTACAGACTTTCCATTACTTTTTTCTGCTATTCTAACCTCAAAAAAAAACAATCAATTCAGATATGTCATTGGCTACGTTTTTCCTTGTCTTCACTTTTATCAATTTCCTTGCAATCACATTCAATATCTTCCTATTCATATTGATTTTCAAGTTGAATGACAAAAGTTGGTTGATTTTTTTAAAATTTTCAAAAAGTTTCCAACAGAAAAAAAACGCAATTTCAGCTCGCCACCCAACTATTTACATTTACAACACTATTATTGCAAATACTCTGGATACATTTTTCATTTTTATCACTTTTCTACTACCTCTTATATTCGATGAAAAGTTGTATATCGTGTTTCGAAATGTTTTCGGATCCACACTCACCTTTGTGTGCACATTCTTCTATGAGCATGTCTTCTATCTGACTCTTCCAATGATTATCCATCGATGTTGGCTGATTCGTCATCCGGAGAGCAAAGCTTTTGTCGGTTGGAAGCTTTGGACGATTTGCGGTGTACTTGCTGTAAGTTAAATTTCATTAGAAAATTCCATTTTTTATTCGAGGTCGTAGAACCTCTAATAAAAGAACCCCACACTGTCAATTTTGACCCGATTTATCTTGGCTCCTACCAAAGATAACAAACAGTGGTAACCTGAAAAAAAATTCTTCATAATACAAAAATCCTTGTCAATTCAAAATCTCTTCATACCTCTCCTTGGAACCGAAATAAACTTGGTCTAACTATAAGTTGAAGGTTTTGTCTACCGTAAAACCTGCAATAGAAGGATCCTCGACTTTGAGATGATTTTCGCCGGTTTCTGCCAGAGATATAAAAAAGTTATCAACTGATGAATTGTTTATCATCAGAAGTGTTTAGTCCGTTGGGGCATTCTAGATATCTTGCATAGGAGCCAAGAAAAACTAGCTCGACTGTGTGGGGGCCCTTCTATTACAGGTTTCGCGGTATTTTGCTAGTCGGGCACTTTGTGAAATTTTTTTGAGATAATTCAAGTCAAACTTGAACAAAATCAAGGATACAGCCAAACGTTCCCCTCATTATAGCCACACGCTAGTTTATTTTATAGGCTATCTCCCTGATTTTTCTACTGATCCCATATTTATCATCATGCCCCGTTAATATCAATCAACGAGCTTTCGACTTCGCCGTGGATTGTGAGCAAAAACATCCGGTATGTAGGTTTTCGTCATTCGACTAAAAATAAGTTCACCTGCCAAAGCCTTATAACTTCCCAGAAATAAAACCGACTTTTTCAGCTCACCCAGTTCCAAAATGATTTCCTGTTTGTAATTCCACTTCTGTCTTTTGTGCTCAATATTGTTGTGGTGCTATATCTGGCACAGAAGCGAGGAGAAGCGTTAAGGAGAAGAAGACTGAATGGTAAGTTCGCTTGGGTTTAGATCAAGCAATGGAGTTTTTCAGTCGTATCCATCTCTTCCACTAGTAATGTTCATCAACTTCCCCCCTTGGTTACCCGATCGAAAACTCGTCAAATGTATGAGCAATCTCTTCTGCGACAATCATTATTCACTACCTTATTCTCTCTGATCTACGAACTATCTGGCTTTCTTCTCCGATTTTTTAGGGTAAACCCTTTTTCATGGTGCTTGGAAAATCATATTTCCATTTCAGAAGGACTACCAAGCACTCTCTGAAGACACCCAACGCCTCATTTTATATGCTAGACTGTGCCTATCATCATTATTATGTTTTTTAGTGTTTTTTGTCGGGACACCAGCTATTCGCAAATTGGTAATCACAAAAGTCAAGGAGATTCTCCGAGGAAAAACTGGTCATCGATCTCCAACTGCAACAGTTCTTGTTTAAGAAAATAAATAGTTTCTCTCGCTTTTGTTGCTCCCCCCTACGGCAGGGGTCCTACCGTAGCTAACCTCATCACCATAATACGTCCTCTTGAAAAACAAACAATGTGCGTATGGGCATATGTCGTCTCTCTTCATTTCGGAACGCGTATTATGCTCGTGAAGGGATGATGTTTAGGCAATTTACACTCTCAAGTGATTCTCAAGTATCCCAGGGCATTATTTGAGTGAAGATACTCTCTTCATTTTCGCAGTGAATCCGATCCTCTAAACTTGAGGCTTCACAGGTTTAGGAAATCAGGACATACATACATGTATTCTTATACATGTAAACCGGGCTCGTGGCGAGCTTTGCCATGGTTTTTTTTCAGAATCTCTATTTTTGAACCAGCTAATATGGTAGAACTCGATGAATACTACAAAATGATATTATTTGAAAAAATTTAGCTTGCCTATTAACAAATCTACAAGGCGTACCATAAACACTCTAATGGTACGCCACCCGAATCGTCAAATTTGAACCTATGTATCTCATTTTCTGTGATAGATATCAAAAAGTAATTAACTAACAAAATGTTGCTGATATTATGATAAACATTTATTAGATGGCAACTTTTTGATATCTTTCACAGGGACCGAGATATATAGGCTCAAAGTGGGCGGCCTGGATGGCGTTCTATTCGAGTGTTTACGGTAATTGTTAAAGCGTAGCTCAGACGCTTTTTGACCTAAAAATTTGTTCATAGATAAGATACAGTATTCCAAATAATAGCATTTTGTAGTACTCGTTGAGTTTAATCATATCAAATTTAGCTGGTCCGGAAATACTAAAAGAAACAATGACCGGGCACGGTTTACAAGTGTATATATACTGAAAATTCCCCTGATGTTACCTTCAACCCTCTTTTTTCAACTTTCTATGTATCCAAATCTAGTTTTTCAATTCTTCGAAATTTTAATACACTAGCTAATCTGTACCTTTGTATACTGGTGTTCATTTCGGCGGAAGTGATTCGATATGCTATACAGTGTCTCCCTCCCACCCCATAATTATGATCAACAAATCCCGCCTGTATGCATATGATTATGTTAATTCCGAGGCCAACTGATCCGTCACGCTTCTCAGGTTTTTGTATATTCGTTTTGGAAATGCTAAATTCTTCGTCAAAATTTT